TGTGAACTGCTGTATGAAAAGTGAATTTACTCTGTAAATCTTCACCCAAATCCTAATAAAAAAAAAGAAAAGAAAAGAAAAGACCAAAATGGATGTCAGAAGAGACTCTGAAACTTGCTCTTTAATGAAGAGTAGCTAAAGTGAATGGAAGAAATGATGAAATAAAACTGCTGAACAGAAGATTTCAAAGGGAATCTCAAGAAGACAAAGTAAAGTAATTTATAATAAAATATGCAGAGTCCTGGAGTTAGAAAACCAAAAGGGAAGAACATACTTTGCATTTCTCAAGCTGAAAGAGCTGAAGAAAATAATCAAGCCTTGAGTTGTGATATTGAAGGATTCTACTGGCAAAATATGACATGATGTAAGAAGCATTAAAAGAAGATATATGGAATACACAGAGTCACTCTACCAAAAAGAATTGGTCGATGTTCAGCTATTTCAGGAGGTAGCATATGATCAAAAGCCAATGTTATTGAAAGAAGAAGTACAAGCTGCACTGAAAAAATTGGTGAAAAACAAGGCTCCAGGAATTGATGGAATACCCATCGAGATGTTTCAACAAATGGATGAAGCACTGGAGGTGCTTACTCAGTTATGCCAAGAAATTTGGAAGACAGTTACCTAGCCAACTAACTAGAAGAGATCAATATTTGTGCCCATTCCAAAGAAAGGTGGTCCAACAGAATGTGGAAATTATAGAACAACATTAATATTGCATGCAAGTAAAATTTTGCTGAAGATAATTCTAAAATGATTGCAGTAGTATATTAACAGGGTACTTCTAGAAATTCAAGCTGTATTTCGGAGAGGACATGGAATGACAGATATCATAGCTGATGTCAGATGGCTGAAAGCAAAGGATACCAGAAAGATGTTTACCAGTGTTTTATTGACCATGCAAAGGTATTTAACTATGTGGATCATCACATATTATTAGATAACATTGTGAAGAAAGGCAATTGAAGGACACTTAATTATTCTTGTGAGGAATCTGTACATAGACCAAGAGCCTGTTATTCAAACAGAATAAGGGAACAGTGCATGATTTAAACTAGGAAGTGTTGTATCCTTTCACCATACTTATTCAATCTATATGCTGAGCAAATAATCTGAGAAATAGGACTATATGAAGAAGAATACAACATCAAGATTGCAGAAGACTCATTAACAACCTGTGATACACAGATGATACAACCTTGTTTCCTGAAAGTGAAGATGACTTGAAGCACTTACTAATGAAAATCAAAGACTATAGCCTTCAGTATGAACTATATTTCAACATAAAGAAAACAAAAATCCTTGCAACTGAACCAATAAGCAACATCACAATAAATAGAGAAAAGATTGAATTTGTCAGGGATTTCATTGTACTTGTATCCACAATAGACACCTATGGAAGCAGCAGTCAAGAAGTCAGGCTTCATATTGTACCAGGCAAATCTGTATCAAAAGATCTCTTTAAAGTGTTAAGGAACAAAGATGTCACTTTGAAGACTAAGGTGCACCTAACCTGAGCCATGGTATTTTTATCACCTCATATGCATGCAAAAACTGGACAGTGAATAAGGAAGACCAAAAAGGAGTTGATGCCTTTGAATTGTGGTGAAAATACCATGGAGTGCCAGAAGAACAAACAAATCTGTCCTGGAAAAAGTGCAGCCAGAATGCTCCTTAGAAGCAAGAATGGCCAGACTTCTCACCTACTTTTATCATGTGGTCAGAATAGACCCTGGAGAAGGATATCATGCTTGGTAAAATAGAGGGTCAGCTAAAAAAGGGAGACCCTCAACAAGATATATTGACATAGTGGCTTCAACGATGGGTTCAAGCAGAGCAGGGACTGTGAGGATGTCACAGGACTGGGCAGTGTTTTGTCCTGTTGTGCACAGGGTTGCTATGAGTCAGAGCTGACCTGACAGCACCTAACAACTGCAACAACATATAGTTTTTGTATATTTTGCTGTGGTTCCCATGGTGATTACATTTAACAGTCTAACTTTATAGCAACCTAGTTTAAATTGATAAAAATTTAACTTCAATAACATTTTAAAAAGTCTTTATTCTTATACTATTTGTCTCCTTCCTCCAACTTTGTTATTATCACAAAGTAAATATGTATATATGAGCCTAATAAGAGAAATTTATAATTCTACTTTTAATGTATTTGTTGTTTTAAATAATTTAGCACTCAACAACATAGGTAAAAATAAAAAAATCCATAAAACTGGCCTTTATGGTTGCCCATGAAATTACCTTTTCTAGAAACTTTTTTGTCTTTGTACAACTTTGAGCTACTATTCAGTATGCTTTCCTTTCGATCTGAAGGACTCTCTTTAACTTTTTTTGAGGGCAGATTTTGTTATAACAAAGTCATTCATCTTTTGTTTATCTGGGAATATCTTAGTATCACCCTCATTTTTTTTAAGGACAGATTTGCTGGATATAGAATTCTTGGTAGACAGTTCTTTTCTTCAGCACTTTAAACATTACATTCTACTGCCTTCTGGACTCGAGTTTTTAAGGAGAAATTGGCACTTAATCTTCTTCAGGGTTCCTTGTATGTGACAATTCTCATCTCTCAGAATTCTTACTTTAGCTTTCTTGTCAAGAGTTCAGGATCATCAAATACTTCCTTGTTTGGTTTAAGTGTCTGATTAGATTCTAGAGTTTCACAATAAATATTTCTAATTGCTCTTTCAAGTCCATTGATTTAGTGAAGGGGTGGACCTCTGGAGTTTCCTCCTCTGCCGTTTTGTGTCTAAATACTTAAATTTTTGATGTGTAAAATTGATTGTTACAAATATAGCTCTGTATTTAAACAACCTGTTTTCTTTGTTAGACTCGACTAGAAAAAGAAGCAGAAAAGAAGATAATAATGTTGGCAGAGAGAGCCCACCATGAAGCTGTTGTGTAAGAGACTGCTGCCTCCTTTTCCTTTCTTTCTTTTTTAATTTTCTTTTTGTCCACATGAACCAAAGTTTATTAGAGAGAGAGGAGAGGGAAGGGGCTCATGAGGGACAGAGAGAGAGGGGCTTCTGCCGATGTTAGCCTCTGGTCACTCCCTCCTTTTTCTTTCTGATAGCTTCTCTTACCTCTCTGGTATTTTATCTTTTTCATACTGTGTATCATGTTGTCTTCTCCCTTCACTCCTGGCTTGCTTTCTTCACATTTTTTGGTCTACTCTCCATCCTAGGTTCTTTCTCTTTGTCTCCTCTTTCCCCTTTACTCCCCACTCTTTCTGTAGCAAAATGGCATGGTGGAAAAAATGCGGGCTTTTAAGTCAGACTTGGTTCTCAACTTGCATACAAACTGACCTTAGGAAGATTTGTTAACTTCTTTAAAATTAAATTTCTTAATATAAAAATAGGATTAATAATAGCAACCTTACAGGGTTGTAATCAGAGGTATATTAGGGAAAGTAACACCAAACTGCATGGTATTAATAAACTCCCAAATCTTAATTTATTTGGGAGTTTGTTTGTTGCCTATGTAACAATCCAATGTGGGTCTGTCACCTGTCCTCTAATGGTGATTCAGGGAATTGAGTTGTTTCCATCTTGCACCTCAACCATCTTGGAGTTCATGTCAGGTCATGTGGACAGGAAGAGAGCGTGGAAAACTCATACCTCTGTTACCTGCTTTAGACTGGAAGTAACACATCACTTCTTATTTTCCCTTTAGAGAGAACTTAGTCACAAGATTCTCACCAATTATTAATTAACTAATTAATTAATATTAATGTTGGAGGATAAAGCAGTCATTGTTCTAGTTTGTTAATATCTAAAACTTAGGTGTGTGTTTTGGAACCTTATATCTATTTATCTGTTTTAGGCAACTGAATAATGCTGGAAAAAATGTTTTTAAAGAGAATGTTTATCTCCAGAAAGCTCTTGCATATCATATGAAAGAGGCTGAAGATCTACAAAAAAACTCCCAGAAGTTGCAAGAGACTCATAGTGTCCTTTTACATCAAAAGGTTCTCATTCTCACTTAGACTTTGTTTACTTTTTTAGGAATTGGATTGAACAACAAAAGTCCATTATAATAGTAACACATAAGGACATTTTCTGGACGACTCACCTTCCTTATCTGAGAGAATTAATTAGTGAATGACTTATGAGAAGCTTTAGATTTGGCTTTAAAAAGAAAATATTAGAAACATAAAACTTTCATCCTCTAGTACCCTATTAGAATACTCATTTAGCTTTGCATATAGTTGGCTCTTGAATCAACTGAGAATAGGTTTAGCTGTAACAGATGTGATAACAGTACCTTCACCACATAAAGGTTTATTCTCTCATGTAAGGGAAGTCTGGAGATAAGCAATCCAGAGCTGGAATGGTAGCTCACAAAGTTAACAAACACCCAGGTTCCTTCACTCTGCTTTAGAGTATGTGGTTATATCCTCAAAGTCACCTCATCGTCTAAGGTGGCTGCTGGAGCTCTAATCATTATTTCAAACAGCAGGAAGTAAAAAAATGTGCACCTTCATTAGAGGTCTCCCTGGAAGTCTCACACACATTTCCACTTTTATCTCATTAGCCAGAACTTAGATACATGGTTATGCTGAACTCCAAGGGAGGCCAGGGAATGTAGGTTTTCAGCTGGGCTTATTGCCTTCCTGAATAAAATCGAGGTTTTATTACCAAAGAAAAGAAAAACGAATGTTGTAATAGCCACAGTTTCCTGTGTATGGTTGTTGATGTTTTACTGTACAGTGCTTCTGGTTTTAGAATTACCCTTTGGTAATGCAAAACATGTTTTGGAATTTTAGAGTAAAGAAAGTTTCTTAATTATCAGAATCAGTGGATTGCTTTTACAAGTCCAGACAAGGATCCTAGTATGTTTTTGCTCTCTATACAGATACCAGAATATCACCTTCTCAACCTGGCATCAAACTCAAATCCCTTGAAGTAATGGAAGTTAGTCAGGAACTTTTGAGTTCTGGGATTATTAAAGAAAAAAAACTAATCTTTTACCTCTCTCATCATTCTGTTTTTAGGAGATCAATGACTTGTTGGTTAAGGAAAAAATTATTCAACTTAACCAACAGAAATCACAAATACAAACTCTTCAGAAAAAAGTGATAAGCTTAGAGACTGCCCTGACTTGTATGACCAGAGAGTTTGAGGCTGAAGTTTTAAAACTGCAGCAACAGGCAATGATAGAGAATCAAGCAGGCCAGGTAGAAATGGACAAGCTGCAGCAACTTCTTCAGATGAAGGATAGGGAAATGAATCGAGTAAAGAAGCTGGCCAAGAACATCCTGGATGAGAGAACGGAGGTGGAAAAGTTCTTTTTGGATGCTCTCCATCAAGTGAAGCAACAGATCATACTTAGCAGGAAACATTATAAGCAGATAGCACAAACTGCTTTCAACTTAAAAATGAGAGCAGCATGTGCAGGAAAAACAGAATATCCAAAAATCCGTACATTTGATGGCAGAGAGCATAGCACCAACAGTGTGAATCAGGATCTTATGGAAGCTGAGCAATGGTACTAATAATGCTTTAATGTGTTCTTTTTTTGTGTGTTGCTATTTTCATGCCTTTTAGAAAAATAAGAACTCTGGAAAGTTCAGTTTGATAATACCCACATATTAAGTACATTACACAGTAAATTACTTGAGGATAGGAACTGATTGTATCCCCTATGCTCACCATAGTATATGGCGCTCAGTAAGTATTTTCAGGAGGTGCCTCCCCTTTCATGACAAGAGACTTGTTAAAGAGACTATTTGTTCCATATTTTAACTTATTCCTTTATCTTGTTTCTTATAAATTGGAAATTAATTATAAAAGTTTGATTGTTGTTTTGTTATGTGCCATCGAGTCGATTTATTAAACATTTTGATAAACATACTTCCCAAATATTTTGTAATTTCTTTTGATACCATGAGATGACATTCATAGGTAATAATATCTAACTAAATATATAATTTAAAAAAACTAATATAATGTGAAACACTAATAGTTCTTTTTTGTGCAGAACTGTCCTAGAGATCGGAGGGCAGAGCTCCCCATCATTGTATTAACCAAAATGTCCCACAAATTTCCAAAATACTGTATAGAAATATACTGCCACTATGATAAAGGTAGCAAAATGCTTGAGACAGATGCAGAGTATATACAATGATTAAATTTGTTAGTATTTTTATCTGTTATAGAACTCTTCTCACTATAAACCTTGGATTAAATTATATTGCAATTTGAAGATTATTTTTTAAAATGTTATGTATTATATTAAAATGTAATTAGATTGTTCAAAGGTTCCAAATCAAAAGAAGATTTGGAATTAGAAGAACCCTTGCTATTGTATATACTTAGCATTTTATTGTTGCTGTTGTTAGGTGCCATCGAGTCAGCTCCGACTCATAGTGACCCTATGTACAGTAGAATGAAACACTGCCCAGTCATGTACCATCCTCACAATCCTTGTTATATTTGAACCAATCTGTTGTGTCAATCTGTCTTGTTGAGAGTCTTCCCCCTTTTCTCTGACCCCCCACTTTACCAAGCATGATAGCTTTCTCCAGGGAATGGTCCTTTCTGACAACATGACCAAAGTAAGTGAGATGAAGTCTGGCCATTCTCACTTCCAAGAGCATCCAGCTGCACTTCTTCCAGGACAGATTTGTTACTTCTTCTAGCAGTCCATGGTATTATCCAGCATCTTATTAAGAGTGCTTATTTTTCAATGGACTAATTTGTAGATTCTTTTAAATTTTATGGCTCTTGGGAATGTTGGGTATGCTGAATGGCCTTTGAAAGCCTTTGAAAGATAATACTCTTCTTCAAAAATGCCCCCTACTATAATTTTTTCTCTGCTATTCATAAGATTTTCCCTGGCCAATTTTTGAAAAGTGGATGGCCTCCTCGTTTTTCCTAGTCTGTCTTAGTCTGTAAGCTGCATTGAAACCTGTGCACGATGTGCAACTCTGCTGGTGTCTGAAACACCAGTGGCACAGCCTCAAGCCTCATTAGAACTAACAGGTCTATCCTGGAGGAAGTGCAGCCAGAATGCTCCTTGGTGGCGAGAATGACCAGACTTCGTCTCATATACTTTGGTCATGTTGTCAGAAGGGACTATTCCCTGGAGAAGGATGTCGTGCTTAGTAAGGTGGAGGGTCGACAAAAGAGGGGAGGGCCCTTAACGAGGAGGATTGACATGGTGGCAGTGGCAATGGGCTCAAGTGTAGCAAGAATCGTGGAGCTGGCTCAGGACCGAGTGGTGTTTCGTTCTGCTTTGCATAGGGTTGCTATGAGTCAGAGATGACTCGATGGCCTTAACAACAACAACAGCAACATAATTTTTTACTTTATCATATTCAGAAATTTATGAAACCATTTCTGTTACCAAGACATTTGCTGTAATTTACTCTTTTCATTTGTTTAGCCAAGCAAGTTGACTCTCTACAAGACATGAGGCAGTTTCTTTTATGTATTTGTCTACTGGAAGTTGTCAAAAATGAAATGGAATGCTTGAAGATCAATATCCTAGGCATCGTTAATTGTTGCTATTAGATGCCATCGAGTGGCTCCAAATTAAAGGGACTCCACGTGCAACAGAACGAAACACTGCCCAGTCCTGTGCCATCCTCTCAATTCTTGCTATACTTGAGCTCATCATTACAGCCAGTGTGTCGATCCGTCTTGTTGAGAGTCTTCCCCCTTTTAGCCGACCCTCTACTTTAACAAGCATGATATCCCTCTTCAGGGAATGGGCCCTTCTGACAACATGACCAAAGTAGGTGAGACAAAGTCTGGCCATTCTCACTTGCAAGGAGCGTTTCAGCTACACTTCTTCAGGACAGATTTATTCATTCTTCTGGCAGTCCATGGTATTTTCAGTATTCTTCACCAACATCATATTTCAAAGGCATCAACTCTTTGGTCTTCCTTATTTATTGTCCAGCTTTCACATGTGTATGAGGCAATTGAAAATACCGTGGCTTGGGTTAGGTGCACCTTAGTCTTCAAAGTGACATCTTTGGTTCTTAACACTTTAAACAGGGCTTTTGAAACAGATTTGCCCAGTGCAATACAATATCTAGTATCTTGACTGCTGCTTCCATGGGTGTTGATTGTGAATCTAAGTAAAGTGAAATCGCTGACAACATCAATCTTTTCTCCATTTATCATGATGTTGCTTATTTGTCCAGTGGTGAGGATTTTCATTTTCTTTATAGTGAGGTGTAATCCATACTGAAGACTTTAGTCTTTAATCTTCATCAGTAAGTGCCTCAAGTCATCCTACTTTCAGCAAGCAAGTTTGTTTCATCTGCATATCACAGGCTGTTACTGAGTCTTCCTCCTATCCTGATCCTGCATTCTTTTTCATAGGGTCCTGTTTCTCAGAGTATTTGCCCAGCACACAGACTGAATAAGTATGGTGAAAGGTACAACCCTGATGCATGCCCTTCCTGATTTTAAACCATGCAGGATTTCCTTCTTCTATTTGAACGACAGCCTCTTGGTCTATGTGAAGGTTCCTCATAAGAACAATTAATTTTTCTGGAATTTCCATTCTTTGGAAGCTATCCATAATTTATTATGATCTACACAGTCAAATGCCTTTACATAGTCAATAAAATGCAGGTAAATGTCTTTCTGGTATTCTTTGCTTTCTGCCAAGATCCATCTGCTATCAACAATGATACCCCTTGTTCCATGTACTCTTCTGAATGCAGCTTGAATTTCTGGAAGTTCCCCATCAATATAATGCTGAAACCATTTTTGAATGACCTTCAGCAAAATTTTACTTACATGTGATATTAATGACATTGTTAGATAGTTTCCATATTCTGTTGGATCACCTTTCTTTGGAATGAGCACAAATATCGATCTCTGTCAGTCACTTGGCTAGTAACTGTCTTCCAGATTTCTTGGCAAAACAAGTAAGCACCTCCAGTGCAGCATCTGTTTGTTGAAACATCTCAATGGGTATTCCTTCAATTCCTGGACTCCTGTTTTTTGCCAGTTCCTTCAGTTCAGCCTCTACTTCTTCCTTCAATACCATTGGTTATTGATCATATGTTACCTCCTGAAATAGTTGAATATTGACCAGTTCTTCTTGGTACAGTGACTCTGTGTATTCTTTCAATCTTCTTTTGATGATTCCTGCATCATTCAGTATTCTGACCATAGAATCCTTCAATATTGCAATTGGTGTTTAATTTTTTTCTTCAGATGTTTAGCTTAAGAAATGCTGACCATGTTCTTCCTTTTTGGTTTTCTAATTCCAGGTCTTTGCTCATTTCATTATAATACTTTGTCTTCTCAAGCTGCCCTTTGATATCTTCTGTTCAGCTGTTTTATTTCATCATTTCTTTCATTCGCTTTAGCTGTTCTCCATTTAAGAGCAAGTTTCAGAGTCTCTTCTGACATCCATTTTGGTCTTTTCTTCCTTTCCTGTCATTTTAATGACCTTTTGCTTTCTTTATATATTCCACAATTTGTCTAGTCTTCGGTCATTGGTAATCAATGCATCAAATCTCTTCTTCAGATGGTCCCTAAATTCAGGTGGGATATAATCAAGGTCATATGTTGGCTCTCACATATTTGTTTTAATTTTCTTCAGCTTCAACTTGAACTTGCATATAAGCAGTTGATAGTCTGTTCCATAGTCAGCTCCTGGCCTTGTTTTGATTGAAGATACTGAGCTTCTCCATTGCCTCTTTCCACAGATGTAGTTGATTTTAATCCTGTGTATTCCATCTGGTGAGGTCCATGTGTACAGCTGCTGTTTATGTTGTTGAAAAATAGTATTTGCAATAAGTCGTTGGTCTTGTAAAATTCTATCATGCCATCTCTGGCCTCATTTCTATCACCATACACAAAAACTAACTCCAGATGGATCAAAGACTTAAATGTGAAACCTAAAACTAT